TTTAGGGTTTAGGGTTTAGGGTTTAGGGTTTAGGGTTTAGGGTTTAGGGTTTAGGGTTTAGGGTTCCCTTTTTCCCAGTGTGCTGGGGAGGCCCCCAGAAAAAAGGTGGGGCTCCGTCGTGGCTGGGGCTGAGTCGGCCAGTTGGGGTCCGTACACCCCACACACGGTAAATCAAATCCTGTTACTTTGTGGTACCTTACTGTAACTTTAGATACTTTAGATCCTTAGCCTTTTTTGGGTTTATTGGGTTTCTTAATCAGGCAGCTAAAATGTTAAATTTTTAGCTACCCTTCTGAGTGTAGCCAAGATAGGCACCTTTTTCGAAGCCAGGAGTTTTGCTTATGGGTTCGGGGACGACGTCTTGAGCAGGGACCCCGGAATCCTAAGCAACTAGAGATCTTAGAGCCACGAAAAGCTCTAAAGGCTTTAGGCAGGAGATTCGAGTTACGCAACCCTAGTCCAGACCTTCGAGGAGGAACCAAGAAGTAGATCCTAGGGTTTAGGGTTTAGGGGTTGGCTTGTGAGGGTTCCCTTCATTCGCTGGTTACACTACGAACTAAACCCTGAACCGTCTATAAACTCGATGAAGGCCCCCCTCTCTCTCTCTCCTCTCTTTCCTTCCTCTCTCCTCTCTTTCCTCTCTCTCTCTCTCTCTCTCCCTCTCTCTCTCTCTCTATCTCTCTCTTCTTTCTCTGGTTTAGGATTTAGGGTTTAGGGTTTCTTTCTTGGCCTCTTTCTTTCTGCTCTCTCGCTCTCTCTCTCTCGCTCTCTCTCTCTCTCTCTCTCCTTCTGTCTTTCTTTTTTTGTTCTCTCTCTCTCTCTCTCTCAGAAGCGACAGGCACATCAGGTCCTGACCCTTAAACCTAAGCTCCATGAACTCTCGACCATGGGAGGCCCGTGTCGCAAGGTTCCCAGAGAGACCCTGTTGAGCCAACAAAGGGGGCCACCTTCCCTTTCTTCAGGATCCACAAAGCAGATCGCCCAAAGCGGTCCTCAGCCCTAAACCCTTTGAACCCCCTAAACCTCTAAACCCCTGAACCTTAAACCACAAGCTCGTAGAAGCCCTGTGCAAGGCCTTGAACCCCAAACTCCTGAACCTCTAAACCCTTGAACCTTAAACCCTAAAACCCCCTCAACCCCTGCCTCAGCCCTACTATATCCCCCTTGGGCCTTGGGAATTACGTTTTGTTTTTGTTTATATAAAACCCAAGAGGATATTCAAAAAGTCTGTTTATTAAGGTTCTAGGGGGAGTCTAGACTAAGTCCCTGCAATGCCGTCCATCCTGTACCTTGCGCTTCGAGGCGTTTGGCGGCCTGCAGTTGCTGTTGTGCCGCATCCTCGGGCATATGGGGTGGGTTGGGGGTTGGGTTAGATTGTTAAGGGGGTCAGCGGTTTGTAGTGGGTGGAGAAGGTGTAGGTAAAGGGAAGGGGGTTCGCAAACTTGGAGGTTAGGGTGTCTTGCTGTACTAATTTTGAGGAGGTGCATCATGGAGGTCGGAATCGGGGGTCAACTCTCTCCCCTCTCCCCTTTCCCCTCTCCCCTCTCCCCTCTCCCCTCTCCCCTCCCCCTCCCCCCTCTCCCCTTCCCCTTCCCCCTTCTCCCCCTCTCCCCTCTACCCTCTCCCCCCTCTCCCTCCCCCGCCCCCTCCCCCTCCCGTCCCCCCCCCCCCCCCCCCCCCCCCCCCCCGGCCGAAAGCTCAAACGCCCAAGATCTGTCCCTTCATCAAAACTCAAAACCCGAACCCCTCAACTCTAACCCCCAACCCTAAACCCCTCAAACCCTAAACCCTGAAACCGTAAACTCCACAAACCCTAAACCCCAAACCCCACAAACCTGAGCCATAAACCCTCAAACCCTAAACCCCAAGAACCCTAAACCCCTCAAACCCCTGCATAAACACCTCAAACCCTAAACCCCTTACTTTGCCACAGCGCGGTAACATGGTGCATGTTTAGGGGCACTTAAACCCAAGAAGGAAAAGGAATGCAATTTCTCAACACTACCCAGCAATGAACGAGTAAACCTATAGGGTATACTAGCCCTAAATCCTAAACCCTACACCCTAAACCCCTAAACCCTAAACCCTAAACCCTAAACCCTAAACCCCTAAACCCCTAAACCCCTAAACCCCTAAACCCCTAAACCCCTAAACCCTAAACCCCTAAACCCTAAACCCTAGCCCTAAACCCTAGCCCTAAACTCTTGCCCTAAACCCTAAACCCTAAACCCCGAAGCCCCGAAACCCATGCCCAGGCGGCGACTTCTGCCAGCTTCCTGCGCCCGAGGATGACACTTGGGCCTTCGAGTCAAAGGCAGCCTTGGTTGCAGCTGCTGGTTTAGGGTTTCGGGTTTAGGGTTTAGGGTTTAGGGTATGGGGTTCTACCAAAGGCCGGCTGCAGCCGTGGGAGCCTACCTGGGACCCCTAAGGTTGTACCCTTGGGTTAGGTTTAGGGTTTAGGGTTTAGGGTATAGGGTATGGGGTTCTACCAAAGGCCGGCTGCAGCCGTGGGAGCCTACCTGGGACCCCTAAGGTTGTACCCTTAGGCTTGGTTTAGGGTTTAGGGTTTAGGGTTTAGGGTTTAGACTTTAGGGTTGAGAGTGTAGGTTATAGGGTTTAGGGTCTAGACCCACTGGCCTGGTTACTACAGGATTCTGTTGCTTAGTGCCTATGTTGACTACCTGCAAATGAGCTATTAGTTTGATGGGCCCCGGTTGTTTTGTTGCAGTGTTGCGCGCCCTCAGAAGCATGTGCGCTTTGTAGCTGCCAGCAGAAAGTGAAGTTAGAATTTTCTCTTAGTCGAATCCCATTCGAAGACTGCGGCTATAAAGGAGCAGAGCCTTATTTGCAGCATGTGTTTTGTTAGTGCTTGGGTAACATGAGCCTTTATTTGTGTATGCCTTGATTCAAGCTGGGCGCCTGCGACAGTGTTGAATTTGCCTTTGTTTCCCTGGCTTACCGAATGTTGTTATGGCCATCATTTGTTTCTTTATTTGTCGCGATAGTGGTGATGTCTTTTGAGATGACAAGGAGAAGCAGAACGTAACCATCTGCCGAACCTTGTACACAGTATATCGGTTGCAATCAATAATTTTAGCCCTACGCCTTGAACCTTCGACACTAAGGAAGGGTTTAGGGTTTAGGGTTTAGGGTTTAGGGTTTAGGGTTTAGGGTTTAGGGTTTAGGGTTTAGGGTTTAGGGTTCGGGTTTCGGGTTTCGGGTTTCGGGTTTCGGGTTTAGGGTTTAGGGTTTAGGGTAGCCTCTTACCCGAAGCACCTCACCCAAGTGCCAAAACCCCGCGCCTGCCAGGTTTGGGCCCACGCTGCCCGCATTTCCGTGGAGCTGACGGAGGTGAGCCACGTTGGGTTTTCGGACCCTAAACCCTGAACCCCAAACCCTAAACCTAAGCGTACGTTTCCACAGGATAGAGGTCGGGTTCATTTTAGAGCTTGGCAAGGTTAGGCCCCTCCATACAGCCATGGTCTTTTGAAGATTTGTCATCATATTGCGTGCTTACTACTTGCAAGAAAACAACACGGTACACCCTGGGGGTCCATGTATCTAAATAGAATACACTTTGGGCCCTAAAGCTACTACATGGGAATCCCTTCAAGGCCCAAGCATGTACCATATGGGTACATGGACCCTACAGGATAAGAGGCCTGAACGCCGGGAAGGAAATCCGGGCTTTGTGGAATGTCGCGAAAAGCTCTCCAACGCCTCACCCGACACGAGCCTCATCGCACACCAAAACCCTAAACCCCTGAAAACCTAAACCCCTAAACCCTAAACCCACACACCTCTCTGACGGAAACACCGAGGACAAGCTGGCGCTCGTACACATCTTCACACGGAGACCTGTTCTCAGATTTTACTTTAGACGATACCATCGACGTTTTACCCGAACCCCTGAACAGCCCTATCAAACCGCCAGCCCTGAACTCTCAACCCCTCGACCCTAGAAGTTCCTATAAGCCCTAAATCCCCCTAAGGGTCCATGTACCCCTATAGTTCATACTTGGGCATTAAAGCGGTTCCCACGTAGTAGCTTTAGGGCCCAAGCATATACTGCATAGGTGCATGGACCCTTGGGGTCCTAAACCCGAAACACCACACCCTAAGCCCTAGACCCCAAACCCTAAACCCTAGCCCTAAACCCCAAACCCTAAACCCTAAACCCTATACCCCAAACCCTAAAGTGTTAAACCAAAAATCCTAAACCCTAAACCCTAAACCCTAAACCCTAAACAGTGACCCCAAGCAGTGACCCCAAACAGTGCCGGAAAGGTGCTCCGCACGGACCCGGAGGAGTCGGCGTTAGCGGCAGCGCTGGCCGAGGTGCGGAGTTTGGGGCTTACAGGGTTTAGGGTTTAGGGTTATAGGGTTTGGGGTTTAGGGTTTAGGGTTTGGGGTTTAGGGTTTAGGGTTTGCAGTTTGGGGATAGGACTTATGGTAGAGCAAGGAGCCCCTGAGCACACTTTGCTAGGGACCTGCCTGGTCGCCGGTTCTACTTGAAGGCTCACGGGTAGCTGTAGTTAGGGTTCTAGGGTTTTAGGGTTTGGGGTTTAGGGTTCGTAGGGCTGAGGGTGTAGGTTTGGGAACGAGTCCCTGAACCAAAGCGCCGATTCGAAGAACTTGTCTGTCAGCCCAGCCCTGGGAGGGGGTGTTTAGGGTTTAGGGTTTTGGGTTTAGGGTTTAGGGTTTAGGGATGAGCAGAGACAAACCCAGAGAGGCTGAGAAGGGGCCAACCAGACTCTGGTGTCGGAATTGCAAGTCTGGGGGTGAGCAGAGCGCTACTTGTCTTGTAGGGGTTTAGGTTCCCGAGGTACCTACCCCCCAATGGTCCCCCCTCCCCTTGAGAACCCTGCAACTGTCGGATGTCGTTGTGTCGGAACGTGTGATTGGCGATTGATTACGGCGCTAGGCCCGCATTGTAGCTTATCCTCAAGCCATGTAGTAGTTCACTAAATTCGGGGCCCTTTTTACCTACTTCGACTTCAATGGCGGCCGCGCTGGATTTCAAACTGGTCTCTGTGGAAGAGGCGTCAACTGTGAAAGAGCTGCGTGGCAGCCCATTGGTACCCTTTCACCTCGTTTTTTGGGGTTCGAGGTTCCCTTATAAGGTAGCTACACCCCAAAAAAGGGTGCCCTAAATTATAATATGGTTACTGGGCTAATCACCAAGGTTCCCTTATAAAGTAACTACCCCCCCAAACAGGGTGCCCTTATCATAGTATGGTCACCGGGCTACCAAGGCTGTGTGAGGCACATGATGTGCCCTATTCCACTGGCTGCGGCTACTACAAGCTTGAGCGCAAGGAGAACATTTCTTCCAGCAAGGGCCTCTCAGAAGCCCCGTGGTACACTTTACCCTTTTTTTGCTGGGGCTCTGGGTTCCCTTATGAAGCAACCAACCCAAAGAAGGGGAACCCCTAAACCCTAAACCCTAAACCCTAAACCCTAAACCCTAAACCCTAAACCCTAGTTGTTACAATATGGCTACTGGGCTACCAAGGCCTTGTGGCCTACAAGGAAGGGAAGCCGACCAGGTTTGTGTGCGGCAACTCCGAGGTGTCCTGCCCTCGTTTAGGGTTTAGGGTTTAGGGTTTAGGGTTTAGGGTTTAGGGTTGGTATAGTTCTCGCTTCGGGTTTTGCAGGCATGCTTCAACTTAACCCGCCGCGTTGAAGCTTAACTTTTGTTCAGACCCTGTCCTATGACCCCCCCAGACCCTAGGCCCTAAACCCCAAAACCCTAATCCTTGGCGAAACCCTAAACACTAAACCCTAAACCGCCTAAGTATGGTGGAGGGTTTTGGGTGTAGGGTTTAGGGTTCAGGGTTTGGGGCGGATGTCGTGCCCTCGATTTGGCCCCCGTCTTTAGGGCTTCGAGCTTCGGGGCCGGATAATTCAAGCTTCCGGCGGCTTGTATTCAAGCCCTGCGCGCCCCCCCACCCCCGCCCTACCACAAACCTCACCACCACCATGAGAGTGCCAAAGGATCCCAAGTCGCACCCTTACCACCTGAACCCTAAACCCTAAACCCTAAACCCTCAACCCCTAAACCCCCAAACCCTAAACCCTAAACACCTGAACCCATAAATCTCTTGTTCCTGCCTAAGGGCTTCTGAGGCTCCTGAAAGGCAAAACATCTCTAGCCCAAGACTCCGCCAAAACCCCAAAGCCAGACTCGTCACCCTTCAACCCAAAGCCCCTTAAAACCCCATAAGCCCCGAGAACCCCAGACCACCACCAAGCCCCTCCAACCGCCCCCCCCCCCCCCTTCCCTCCCCGAAAACGCCCAGAACTCCCGACAGGAAACCCTAAACCCTAAACCCTCAACTGTAAGGTTCGGAAGATCTTGGGTCTAGCCGCTGGGAACATCACTCTGGCGCCCAAGGATGGCCTGGGTTCAGGGGGTTTAGGGTTTAGGGTTTAGGGTTTAGGGTGTATAGGTCTGGTGTTAAGGGTTTAGGGTTATTTGGGGTCAGGGTTTAAGTTTTAGGGGTTTGGGATTTTGGGTTTTGGGGGTTTAGGGTGTTCGGGGTAGGGTTTTTGGGGTTTAGGGTTTTGGGTTTCTGGGATTTAGGGTTTAGGGTTGTTTGGGGTCATGGTGTTAGGGTTTAGAGTGTTGGTGTAGGGGTTTGGGGGTTTAGGGTTTAGGGTGTAGGGAGGGGGTAGGGTTTTGGGTTTTTGGGTTTTTTGGGTGTATGGTTTTGGGTTTCTGGTGTTTGCGGTTTAGGGTTTAGGGTTCAGGCTTATTTAGTTGGGGTCAGGGTTTTAGGGTCTAGGGTGTATGGTTTAGGGATTTAGGCCGTTGGGAGTCAGGGTAGGTTTTCTATTTGTTTTTCTTTGGTGAGGGGGCGGGTGGGGGGGTGGTTTGGGTTTGGGTTTGGGGGTTGGTTTTGGGTTTCTGGATTTTGGGCTTCAGGGTTGAGATTTGGGTGCTTAGGGGTTTAGGGTTATGGGGTTTGGGGTTTTGGATTCAGGGTTGGGGTTTGGGGGGCCTTAGGGGTTTATGGTTTTGGGGTTTTGGGAGTTTCGGGCTTAGGGTCTGGCGCCTTAGGGTGTCTAGGGTTTAGGGGTTGGAGCTTTGGGGCTTTTTGGGCTTCGAGGGTTTTGAGGGTTTATGGCTGTTGGGTTTAGGGCTGAGGGCGATGGGGAGGGGAGGGGAATGGTAAGGGGAGGAGATTGGAGACTTTGGGGCCTGAGGGGACTCAGGGTTAGGGTTGAGGGTTACGGGTTCGTGGTTGTTTGGGGTTTTGGGGCCTGGGAATTTGAGGGTCTCTTACATGCGTGTGGGGGATTCTCGGGCTTTTGGCTCCTTAACCGCTTGTAAGGCTTTTGCCTATCGACCCTCAAAGGATTGAATATCATGATCAAGCCGTAAACCCTAAACCCGAATCGTCGGGTCTGTAGGTGTAGCTCTTCGAGATAGAGCCCTGTACTACCAGCTACCAGGGGCCGAAGAATATTGAGGTTACTAGAGCCCTTGTCAGGACATCTTTGTTTTTGGGTTGCGATTTAGGGTGTAGGGTTTAGGGTATAGGGTTTAGGGTTTAGGGTGTAGGGTTTAGGGTTCAGGGTTTAGGGTTTGGGGTTTGGAGTTTCGGGTTTCGGGCTTCGGGCTTCGGGCCTGAATGAGGGATGCTCCTTTTTTGTGGTTCCTAGAGGACCCCGGCGCCTTGGTAAGCCAACCTGGCCACAGGACATCAAATCTGGCTGGGCCTTGTATGTGCAGTCAACCAGCACCTTACCTGGGGTCTGACGGCCAAAAACCCTCAACAGGTCCTCGTCGTGTTGTAGAGGCAGCAATCAGCTTTCCGAAATGAATCCTAGCTTAAGTACCGCAAACCCTGAGCCCGGGGTTGAGGGGTTAGGGTGTTGGGGATTGGGGTTTTGGGTTTTGGGTTTTTGCCCCCGAGCCAGAGTTCCCAAGTGTCGCATAGGGTTTAGGGTTTAGGGTTTAGGGTTTAGGGTTTAGGGTTTAGGGTTTAGGGTTTAGGGTTTAGGGTTTAGTAACAGGATTTGTTTGGAAGCAAGTCTTGTGATTAGCCACCATGCCTTGCCTGGGTCTTTCTGAAGCCGTGTATCTGGACCTATTTGGGGGTTTCCGAAAATAGGGGTACCCTTTTTTGAGGGGTCCCTTTAAGGGGATTCTACTCATTTTTGGGCATGGAAGGGGTACCCCTATTTTGGGAAATACCAAATTAGGACGCCATGAAGCCTTCAAGTATGGTCGTAGGGCCGGATCGTAGAGTTTAGGATCCGGGTTCCGCTGGGTGTTCAAGGATTTTGGAGTGCGAGAATCATATAGTGCTACCTCCTAACCCCCAATCCCCTGGGCAGGCCGGGATGTGTTTTTTTGACAGTTTCCCTTGTTGGCTTATGCTACGGGGAGGTGTTCAGGGAACCTTAAACCCAAAACCCTAAACCTTAATCCCAAAACCCTACCTGACATGCTTGCTGAGGCAACAACCGAAAGCTACCCAGCGGCTGCTCTGCATTGCTGAGTGGCGGAAAGGCCACCGGACGGTAAGACCTAAACCCCAGGGCTTAGCGTTTAGGGTATAGGGTTTGGGGTTTAGGGTTTAGGGAGGATGTAAACTTTCAGTTGTGGTGAGCTGATGATTAGATAAAATTGTCTTTGTCCGCCGTGCCAAGGGAGCCAACTGGCAACGCAAATACATCCGTGCCCTCCCTAAACCCTAAACCCTAAACCCTAAACCCTATAAAGGTCCAGCGAAGTAGTTCTTCCAGATAGTGTTGGAGTACATGAGCTGTGGTTTAGAGCTTCTAGAGCTATGAGGGACATCAGTCGTCATCCCTCCTCGACCCTAAGCCCTAAACCCTAAACCCTAAACCCTAAACCATTTCTGAGGCATGCTGGCAGCCTCAGGACATCTGGTCAGGTTTGAAAGGTCCTTGTTAAAGTTCGCCCCCTGTGCCGTGATTTAGGGTTCAGGGTTAAGCATACGGCACGTGCTTTATAGGCCTGCGGGCTTCGGAATTCATGTCTCCACAGAACCCTCAATCCCCAAATCTCTAAGCCCCAAACCCGAAACCCGGATGTCTAAATCGCACAACCCGTTGAACACCCCCGCGTTGGACGAAGGCAGAGGCCAAAACAGCCGGTGCCAAAAAGCGCCCAGCCAGCGCTGCGTCCTCTGCCGCAACATCGAGCAAGGCTGCGAGGACGTCTTGGTGGGGTTTAGGGGGGGACGGGGGGGAGTGTGGGGGGGGAGTGGAGTGTGTGTGGGGGGTTTAGGGTTCCGGGTGCAGGGTTCATTGCTTGAGGCGCTGGAGGGGGTGTGTGGAGCTTTAACTTAGTTGCGGGATCTTTTTGCTGCGGAACCGACTCCTTCCAGAAACCCAAGCACGGTGTCCTCAAGGATTCTGGCACCCTTGGTACCCTTGGCATTAAGGTCCTGGAGGTATCAGGCAAGTAAGCACAGAGACCCAGCAAAAACTGGAGGACGACCGCTTTCATCAACCCCCCCCCCCCCCCTCCCCTCACCAGCTAGGCCTTCAGGGCTCGTTCAGGGTTAGGGTTTTAGGGTTTAGGGTTTAGGGTTTAGGGTTTAGGGTTTGAGGCCGAAGGGCCTTAGCTTTGTCATAGTGGGGTAACATACTACAGTTGCTTTAAGGGTACTTAAACTCAATCAGCAACAGACATGTGATTTTTCATGCTATCCCAGCCATGAACTAGTTAGGCTTCTAGGGTTTTAAGTGGGGTTCGGGGGTTTGGGGGCTAGGGTTTTTTTGGTGTAGGGCTCAGGGTTCAGGAGTCAGCTCATAAACCCTAAGAACCCTGTAGGCGGCCTTTGTAACCACGGGTTTAGGGTTTAGGGTTTAGGGTTTAGGGTTTAGGGTTTAGGGTTTAGGGTTTAGGGTTTAGGGTTTAGGGTTTTGTACATCCCAAACCTCAGAAGAAAAACGACAAAAAACCTAGAAAAACTTGGCATAAGGGAGTTAAACTTGGAGCCCTAAGGATGTACCTCCTGGGGTTCCCTCTTAGTGTACTCCTAGTATGGCCCGTCAAACCCTAAACCCTAAACCCTAAACCCTAAACCCTAAACCCTAAACCCTAAACCCTAAACCCTAAACCCTAAACCCTAAGCCCTGAACAGGAAGGGGGGGGCCGCCAAGTTCCCCATCCTCTGGGACAAGCTGCCGGGCGACGGCGAGGGCGAAAGGTTCGTGAAGACCGGGTCTACGAAGCAGATGCGCCCAGCATGCTCACAGCCTACTGAGGGTTTAGGGTTTAGGGTTTAGGGTTTAGGGTTTAGGGTTTGGGGTTTGGGGTTTAGGGTTTAGGGTTTTAAGTTTAGGCTTCAGGGTTGAGGGTTTAGGGCTTGGGGAGCGTTTAGCTACAGTCCCCCAAGGGGCTGCCCCGTCTTTGTCCTGAAACCAACCCAAGGGCATCTTAAACGTATTAAACACACGTCAGAATATTGTTCTGAGGCAGTATCCCTTCTTCCCCCTTGTTTAGAAGTTGGGCTCCCTTGTGCACAGAGGCTTATTCCCCCTGTAGGGGTTATGTTCCCATTACAGCCGCCAGATTCCCTTGTAGGACTTGCTTCCCTTTTTCCATTTTGCTAGCAAAAAAAGATGATTCTCATTATTGCTATTACTACTATTTGCTCAGCAACCCCCAAAACAATTAAAAGTGGTAATCCCTACGTTGCCCTTGTAAGGAAGCATATTCCCTTATGATTTGGGGGGGTGGGGTTCTCAAGCAAGTAGTATGTTCGTGTTTAGGGATTGGGATGTTCCCCAATTATACAAACAGTCTTTAATGGGGATTATGGTACGCCCCCTAGTATAATCCCGAATAAGGGCGATTAGTATAAGCGGGGAACATCCCAACCCTAAACCCTAATAACTCCAATGCCCCGTTCTTTGGGCTTTGTTCTTCAGTAGGAGTGGGAGGGGGTGGACCTAACCCTACAAACCCTCAACCCCTTGAAGGGTATGTGTAGGGCCCTGATTCCCTCATTCCCTACTACATAGTAGCTGAGTGAGTACACTTGAACACTTTTTTGGATACTAGAGTCCCCTTCAGAACTGAAAGTGTACACTTTTGGGGGGGCTTATGAACTCAACAACTAAGTTCAAAGGGCTCTGAAGTATGGGCCATTCATTTGTCTGAGGGGTTCCCCTTCTAAGGGTCCATGAAAACCACCCTGAACCCCAAACCCTAAACCCTAAACCCCAAACCCTAAACCCTGAGAACTAGGGGGCAGGTACTGGGCAGCCGAGGCACTATGTTGACCAGGAGGTCGACTCCATCGACAGGTCAAGGCTTGACGCTCGGAAGCTCTGCGGTTTAGGGTTTGGGGTTTGGGGTTTAGGGTTTAGGGTTTAGGGTTTAGGGTTTAGGGTTTAGGGTTTAGGGTTTAGGGTTTAGGGTTTAGGGGGTTAGGGTGTAGGGTTTAGGGATCAGGGTTTAGGGTTTCGGGTTTAGGGACGCAGGATCCCGAGCCTGCAGCCTACACCTTGGGATGATCCCCCTTATACTAGCAGTCCTTAATAGGGATCAGAGTTTAGGGTTTAGGGTTTAGGGTTTAGGGTTTAGGGTACGTACTGATAATCCCTATTGAGGGCTGTTAGTTCGGAGGGAGCATCCCAACCCTGGACCCTAGACCCAAACGACATAAACCCTGATCCCTGCACTTGTGAGGCAGGGGTTTAGGGTTTAGGGTTTAGGGTTTAGGGTTTAGGGTTTAGGGTTTAGGGTTTCAAGATGGCCGATGATTCACAAGCATCCCTTGGACCCCCCACCCCCCACCTTACACCGAACCCCGAGACCCTCGGCCCCAAACCGTAGCCCCAAAGCCCGAAACCCCACAAAGCCCGAAACCCTAAACCCTAAACCCTCAACCCTGAACCCTAAACCCTAAACCCTAAACCCTAAACCCTAAACCCTAAACCCTAAACCCTAAACCCTCAACCCTCAACCCTCAACCCTCAACCCTAAACCCTAAACCCCAACCCCAAATCCTTGACCCCGACCCGAGCCCTGAAAGCTTTTTCCTGAGGATGCGGCACTGGATGCCCTGGCCGCCTCAGTGAAAGCTGCCAAATGGACAGCGGAGGGGGCCACCCTGACTCTTAGTAGCTGAGGGAGTACACTTTACCATTTTTGGGGGTTTAGGGTTTAGGGTTTAGGGCTTAGGGCTTAGGGCTTAGGGCTTAGGGGATTAGGGGCTTATGAACTCAGCAACCAAGGACTGCACCGGGAGGCTTTAGGATGCAGACCTACACGGAGGCACCTGGGTGACTCCGTGTTTTAGGGTTTAGGGTTTAGGGTTTAGGGGCTTTCGTGTTAAGGGTTTAGGGTACTAGGTAGGACCTTCGGAATGTTTTTTTTTTCTTTTTCTCGTATTGGGTTGAGGAGGGTTTAGTTTTGGAATGGCTAGCGTTTCCGGTTTAGGACTTAGTGCGTGCTGGATATGTTGGAGTTTGGGTTTGGGGGTTGAGGATGCAGGGTTTTAAACCCTAAACCCTAAACCCTAAACCCTAAACCCATTTAGGCTGTTTGGAAAAATCGGGCGTTTGATCCGAGATACCAGAGAACACTTGAACACGGAACGGGTGACCGTAGGGTTTAGGGTTTAGGGTTTAGGGTAGCAACTTGAGTTTTATTGCTAAACTTCCCCCGCTCCGTATTGTGAGGATCTACGTTTTATCCCCAGACTTGTTGTTGATTGGAATGCCCACTTGTTTCTGAGCCCTTGCAGACCTGGTTCTTGGTGCCTCGGGCTTAGAAGGTGACGCTCTATTCTCGTGATAGTGAGCCCATTGCTCCCTTGTAAGGGTCCTTGTGCCTGCATGGTATATATTTTGGGCCCTAAGGCATTTTTATAGGAACCCCTTTAAGGCACACTGTCTACTATGTAGGTACATATGGACCCTTTGCGCGCGCTCTCATGGGTTCGCAAGCACCGCTGGCGCAGATGGAAGAAGAAGAGGATTACATCATTGCAGTGCAGACGCCGGACCATTCCCTGGTGGTTGGCAGCCTGGCGCTGGTAGGGTTTAGGGTTTAGGGTTCAGGGTTTAGGGTTCAGGGTTTAGGGTTTGGGGGTTTAGGTTTTAGGGTTTTCGGTTGGGATGTTCCCCCCATTATACTGACAGTCCTTCATAGGGAGTATAGTACCCCCGATTCTAGTCCCCATTATGGACTGTTACTATAAGGGGGAACATCCCAAATAGGGGCCTCAATGCTGGCTTGGCTTGGCTTGGCTTGGCTCGGCCTGGCCTGGCTCGTCTTGGCTTGGCTCGGCTCGGCTTGGCTTTTCTCGGCTCGGCTCGGCTTGGCTTGGCTCGCCTTGGCTTGCCTCGCTCAGCTGAAGTTCTTGCTTGGCACGGCCTTGGCCTGGTTAGCTCGCTTGGTTGGGGGCTTGGCTCGCCTCGGATTGGCTTGGCTCGACTTGCTCCGTGTTGAACCACGCTCTTTTTGGACGTGCGAAGCTTTCTTCGATGAACATATGTTCTTTGCTCCGAGTTGAACCCCGGCTTTTTGACGCGCGAAGCTTTCAGAAAACACATGTTTTCTGAGTTTGCAAATGAGGGGGTTTAAGTCGTACGAACCAATCCTGCGAGCATCGTGTTTGCAAATGGGGGAGGGGGGTTTTAAGCCGTACGAACCCATCATGCGAGCATTGTGTTTGCAAATGGGGGGGGCTGCGCCCTCTCCCCAACCCCCTCGCTTGCTTTAAGGCTGCCACCCATTTTCAGCCGTACAGTCTTTTTTCAATCACATGATGCGAGCATTGTGTTTGCAAATGGGGGCGGGGGGGGGCTGCGCCCCCGCCCCCCCCAACCCCCCGCTCTTTTTGGACGCACAAAAGTTTTGAAAGAACACTTTGTCTGAAACCCATCATGCGAGCATCGTGTTTGCAAATGGGAGAGGGGGGTTTTAAGTCCTACGAACCCATCATGCGAGCATTGTGTTTGCAAATGGGGGGGGCCCCCCACCCCCCCCCCCCCCCCAACCTGCCACCCATTTTAAGCAGTACAGTCTTTTTCTATCACATGATGCGAGCACTGTGTTTGCCATACCCATTATAAGCCATACGTTCTTTTTCAAAGGCATGATGCGAGCATTGTGTTTGCAAATGGGGGGCGGGGGGGGCTGCGACCCCGCCCCCCCTCTTTTTAGACGCAGAAAGCTTTGAAAGAACCTTTTGTTTGAAACCCACCATGTGAGCATCGTGTTTGCGGATGGGGGAGGGGGGGGTTTGGGCTTGCTGCTGTTTGTGCAGTGTTTGCGGCCTCTACAAACTCGGGGGTGCTGCTGGTTGCGGTGTTTGCGGCCTCTGGACATGCGCAAATGCTGCTATTTACATTATTTGCAGCTTCTGACAATGCAGAAACGCTGCTATTAACAGTATTTGCAGGCTCTGGCAACGCGCAGATGCTACTATTTGCAGCACTCAGAAATGCCGCTTATGCTTGCCGAGATCAAACCCTCAACCCCCAGTATGTGCAGCCTCTCCAAACTCAGAAATCCTGCTATTTACCATATTTGCAGCCTTTGAAAATGCAGGAATGCTGCTATTTACAGTATTTGCTGCCTCTGCAAACTCGGAAATGCTGCTAGTTACAGTATTTGCGACCTCTGGACACACACACAAATGCTAGCCTCTGACAACGCAGAAATGCCGCTATTTACTCTTTGCCGGATCTGGCAACGCAGAAATGCTGTTATTTACAGTATTTGCAGCCTCTGCAAACGCAGAAATGCTGCAATTTACAGTATTCGCAGCCCTGAACCAAGAACCAAGGCCGAGCCACACCTTTGCAAGGAAACATGGCCGAGCCACACCTCTGCAAAAAAAAACCTTTCCGCAGGTTTAGGGTTTAGGGTCTACAGAAGGAAATGCCATTTGTAAGCATTCCGACCCCTTGTAGGACAGTGTTGCCCAGATTTGTGCTTGGCTTCGTCATAAACCTCCTTTCATACTGGTCTTCTCGACTGGTGCCAGATCTTCTTAAACCATGAACTCGCAGGGTTTAGGGTTTAGGGTTTAGGGTTTAGGGTAGTGGAGAAGAAGATGTAGAGGTTGCAGCTGCAGAGTTGGTATGTAGCGATATGCGGCACGGGGGTACCTGGGTGGCTCCTAAAGGGTTCCCCTAGATGAAGTCTGTGTTTTGACCCGATTTTTGTTGGGAGCGAGGGGGCAGGTTGCCCTGAACCCTGCAACAAGTTAGCGTTGACCCGAGAGTTATTGGCATCCAATATTCCCCAGAGGGTCCATTTGTAGTACTATTATGGAATTAGGTACCCCAAATCCCTATTCAGTATGGTTTTTGGGTACCTAATTCCATAATAGTAGTACGAATGGACCCTCTGGGTTCCGGAGTACTGCAGGCTTTTTGCTCGGGGCTTGAATACAGGCGCAGCCACAAGTTCAGGAAATCTCCCAAGCCCCGAACCGGATTAGGGTTTGGAGTCCTTCTACCTCTTGCCCCAGGCAATATGGGCTGCCATCCTTTCGTGGAGATGGAGTGGCTGGGAGGGGTTGGGGTTGTGGGTTGGGGGGCTGTGCAGCTGAACCCTAAACCCTACACCCTAAAACCTAAATCCTAAAGTCGCCATATCCGGACGCCAAAAAAAGCATGGAAGTAACCTGTAGCCTTTCTCGGTCTCTTTGGGGCTACTATAGGGGTCAGAAGAATTACGAGTAGTATTCCCTTATGGTCCCTATAGAGTTATACTACAATAACCCCTCCCAAACCCCATGCTAATGATTCAGGCCCCTGTTCTAGGTCCCCTCATCATCCTCAAAGCATAAAACAGGGTTCGCTTTCTCATCCCTACAAGGAGGGGCCCCCTCTATACACCAACTGTAGTTAGGGGACTTATAACCTAATTTAGGATCCTTATAACCTTATTTAGGGTTCTTATAACTCTACTTATTTAGGATCCTTATAGCCTTATTTAGGGTTCTTATAACTCTACTTATATCTAGGGGGGGTCCCCCTCCTTGTAGTTGTTTTGGACACCCTGAAATCCTCACAAACCCAGGTTTCGCATCCCTGAGCCCTAAGCCCCAGAAGGATCCCCCAAGAATAATGAAACCCTGAGCCCCGAAACCCTTAAACCTAGTAACCCTAAACCCTAAACCCTAAACATAGTAACCCTAAACCCTAAACCCTAAATCCAGCAGGAGTGGTTCTGGTTTGGGAACTCAGATGGCTCAAGCGACCACCCGGCAGCCGGGCTCACAATGCGCGGCAGGGGCTGTGAAATGTCTTTGGGTCCTTATCACCGGTGTATGGCTTTGGGGTTTAGGGTTTAGGGTTTAGGGAAGTCTTTGGGTCCTGATCACTGGCGTATGGGTAATTTAGCTCAAAGTATCAGAGTCCCTACATAATTCCACCATAGTATCACCAAAACCATATTCCAAGCCTTCAGGCCCATATATTGGTTCTTTAAGTTCGGGGTCCTGAAATGGCTTCCCATACCTTGGAGAACTACCCATATACCCCGCCTGTGGAGCCCACAGAAACTTATGCCTCGGAGGGCCGCCCAAGTCCACCCCCCCAAATCATGATGGTTATATGGGGTTTACGAAATTGAGGAATCGGGTTTAGGGTTTATGGTTTAGGGTTAGGGCTTGGGGTTTAGGGGTCTACTGACTGTGGCCCCGAGTATAGTCCCCAGGGGAGGGGGGGGGGGGATCTCGGAGCAAGCAAGGTACCGTCCAAGGCAGTGGCAAAGAATGCGGCGAAGCTGTGTCAAAAAGCCATTGGCGATGTCAAAACCTTCCTTTTCCACCAGCAGCACTGAGAGCAGGCAACTTGATGTAGCGTTTCAGGGTTTACCCTAAACCCTAAACCTTAAACCCTAAACCCTAAACCCAAGACCCTAAACCCCTAAGGTCTTGGTTCCAGGGGCTCATGCGGACCAACTCAACAGGCCTTGCGTCCCTAATCCTCCAAATAACCCCAGGCCCTCCCCTAGAAATTTCCCTAAACCCTAGGGTTCAGGGTTTAGGGTTTTGGGGTTTAGGGTTCAGGGTTTAGGGTTTAGGGTTTAGGGTTTAGGTATTAGAGGTCCCAATCCCTGAACCCACAAACCCCTGATAAGCCCTCAAGCACCAAGCACTCCCCGCGGAGTGCACCAGGCCTCAACCCAGGCCCCTGGGAGGGTCCAAAAATCGAGCACCCCCAAATAGTACCACCCTAAACCCTAAACCCTAAATACTAGGTTTAGAGTTACTGTTGGGTCGTTCTTCGGAAAACCCTCACAAGGGGATCTATCCCAAAGGGTCCATGTACCTACATACTTGGGCCTTAAAGGGGTTCCTAAATAGTAGCTTTAGGGGCCAAGTATATACTATATAGGTACATGGACCCTTAGGGTATTTTTTGGGGATCCTTGCAGATGTCTGGGAAGGGCATCTTGAAGGGCGTGGCTAGCGCATCCCAAAGACCCCAAACTCCCCGAAACCCTAAACCCTAAACCCTAAACCCTAAACCCCGAAACCCTAAATCCCTCAACAAGCCCCAAATTCCTCGTTTGGGGTTTGGGGTTTAGGGTTTAGGGTTTAGGGTTTGGGGTTTAGGGTATAAGCCCTAAATCCCCAACCCCAGATCCCTAAACCCTCAATCATCTACGTTGCGGGAATCCCATGTGTTTCCCGCAGGTTACTGGAGAATGTTATGTGCAACAACGTATTGTCGACAACCAAGCTATAACTAATTGAAGCTACTTTAAAC